ACTTAGGAAATTGCAGGACTACAGGAACCCCAAGCCAAAAACTGGGATGAAGATCACATATATATTTATTTTATAAATCACAACATCAGGGGCGCCTGGGTGGCTCAGTCAGTTAAGCGTCCGACTTCAGCTCAGGTCACCATATCGCGGTCCGTGAGTTTGGGCCCCGCGTCGGGCTCTGGGCTGATGGCTCAGAGCCTGGAACCTGCTTCCAATTCTGTGTCTCCCTCTCTCTCTGCCCCTCCCCCGTTCACGCTCTGTCTCTCTCTGTCCCAAAAAGAAATAAACGTTAAAAAAATAAAAAAAATAAATAAAAATATAAATCACAACATCACAAGAACATACTTACAGGTCCCAGGGATTAGGATGTGGACACTTTAGGGGAGCAGTATTCTGCCTACCACAACTTTTTATCTGCTAACTCTAATCTGCTGCTAAATCCATCCACAGAACTTTTTTTAGGTGCTGAATTTTCCGTTTCAAGAATTTCTATTTGGTTTTTTATAGTTTCCATTTCTCTACTGATATTTCCCATCTGTTCACTCTCTTTATGACCATCTTTTAAATTAAGTCCTTGTGATAGATACTTGAATGTCCTTGACTATTAATTGTCTACTATTTTCATGATCTATTGATATTGATTGCTTTCATTTTTGATAGTAGCTCATATTCTGCTTTATGTAATAAATTTTTATTTTATATTTGTTATTGTGCTTGGAGATTCTTGTTTCTGTTATCTTCCTATGAGAAGGGGTGATTTTTTTTTTCCTAACAGTTAAATTACTGGCTGATCATACTGAATTTTTAAAGCCTTGATTTTATACCTTGCGGAGGCAATATATGGAGAGACAGAGAGCAAGGAGCGCACTCATGCCTGCATTTGGGCAAATCAAGGAACACAGTATTTGCATATAATATGAGGAATGTCATAGGTTCCAAAGGAAAGCCCAAGGTGTTTACTTTTTACTTGGCAAGAACCACCAAACTCTGTCTTCCCAGTATAGGTCAATAGCTGTAACCTACGCTCAATGTTTTCAGCCATCAAGTTGTTGATTTCCTCTGGACTTTTTGTTATATGCTCTCTATATATGAATTTTAGGAAATCACAGGTTTGAGGGGGTCTTGCATGAGTGGCTCCATCTCCAGGCCTTCTTCTCCTAGCTTCTAGACACTCTAATACCTCCTAACTCCTTTCTTTGAAATTACAGGCCAATAAGACTGGTTTCCGCTCAGTTTTATTCAAGGACACCACATTTTAATTAGATATTGCCCTCAGGCAGAAAAGCTTTGTAAGAATGCCTGTTACCTGGTATGGCACCCTTCTTTCCAACGTCAAATTCTTCTCTGTGTCTGCCTACTTTGCATTATTCTCTAGTACCTTCAAATAGCTGTTTAAAAAATATTTTGGGGGGGGGGGGGCCCTGGGTGGCTGAGTCTGTTAAGCCTAACTTCGACTCAGGTCATGATCCCCTGGCCCACAAGTTCAAGCCCCACATCAGGCTCTGTGCTGAAGGCTCAGAGCCTGGAGCCTGCTTTGGATTCTGTTTCCCTTGCTCTCTGCCCCTCCCCACCCCTCTCTTTAAAAAATAAATAAACATTAAAAGAAATATCTTGAGGGCACCTGGGTGGCTCACTGGGCTAAGCATCTGACTTTGGCTCAGGTCATGATCTCACAGTTCATGAGCTTGAACCTCACGTGGGGCTTGCTGCTGTCAACACACAACCTGCTTCAGATCCTCTGTCCCCCTCTCTCTCTGCCCCTCCCCTGCTCATTCTCTCTCTCTCTCTCTCTCTCTCTCTAAATAAATAAATAAATAAACAAACAAATAAAAAAATAAAGTTTAAAAAAATGTTTAAAAAATATTATGCCAGAGTTTAAAATTGCTATCTACAAGAAAGTTAGTCTGATACAAGTAACTCTACCATTAACAGAACTGGAAACTGACTCAAATTTAAAAGAATAAAGATATATTGTTGAAGGATAACTGTCTCCTGTGTTGAGAAGATATAGTAGGGCAGAAATACAAGGTTAGAAGCTGAAAGACAATAAGAAGTTTCTTGCAACGATCCAGGAAAGAGATGAGGTTGGTTTGTTGCAGAGTGGTGGCAATGAGGTGGTGAGGGGTCGAATCAGGATAGTTTTTACATAGAGCCCAAAGAATTTTCTACTAGATTGGGGGAAAGCATAGAACATAGACGTCAAAGGTATCTCGAAGACTTAGTAACTTGACAATTTCTATTAACTGGCATGGGGAAGTTATGCCGGGGCCCTCGGGAGAGGGGAGCAAAGAATATAAGTTTAGTTTTAAATATGTCGACGTCAAGATGTCCATGAGCTATCAGGGTAGAGATAGCAAGTAGGCAGTTGGATATACCAGTCTGGAGTTCATGAGAGAGATCTGACTGGAGGTAAAAATTCAGGGCTTACATCAGTTACCTATTGCTCTGCAATAAATTATCCCCAAACTTAGTGTCTTAAAACAAAATATATATATATAATAATAATGGTCTCACCCAGTTTCAATGTTAGAAAGCCAGATATGACTGAGCTGAGTGGTTCTGGCTCAGGGTTTCTCATAAAGTTGTAATCAAGTTATAGCTAAGGCTATAGTCTCTCAAGACTTGATTGGGCCTAGAGGATCTGTTTTCTGGTGTGGCTGTTGGTAGGAGGCTCTTTCCTCATTATATGGACATCTCCATAATGCTTCTCAGGACATGTCTCCACATAGAGCACTTGATGAGAGAGAAAACCCAAGATGGAGACCCCAATCTCAAAAGTGACATTCCAGCACTTGGTTATATTCCACCCATTAGATGACAGTCACTATGTCTGGCCCATACTCCATACTCAGGGAAGTAGAAGCAGGCTCAGTCTTTTGGAGGGAGGAAGATCAAAGAATTTGAGAACACATCTTTAAAACTGCCATGTAAGTTATCAGTATATAGATGATATCTAAAGTCACAGAACTGGGGCGCCTGGGTGGCTCGCTCCAGTAAGCATCTGCCTCTTGATCTCGGCTCAAGTCACAATGTCTCATGGTTCATGGGATCAAGCCCCATATAGGGCTTTGTGTTGACAGTGTAGAGCCTGCTTGGGATTCTTTCTCTCTCCCTCTCTCCCTCTCTCCCTGCCCCTCTCCACTCACATGCTTTCTCTCTCTCTCTCTCTCAGAATAAATAAACATACAAAAAATATTTAAAGTCACAGGACTGGATGAGATCACCAAGAGAGAGGATGACATACAGATATCCAAGACCTGATCTCTAGATCATACCAACAGAAAGAGGTCGAAGAGAAGAAGAAAAAAAAAAGTAAATAAGGTTAAGGGAGAGATCAGTGAGGTAATAGGAAAACAAAGATTATAAAATCCTTGAAGCTTGAAAAATAAAGTATACAATATACCAGACCCTGTGATAGACTTTATAATAAGAAGTAGACTTTCTACTTTTTTACACTTAGTTTCCTGGCATTAAGCATACTTAACATGTACTGCATAATTGTTACATGCTGCAGATATGTTTGAGCATTCTAAATATGTTATTTCATCCAACCAAAGAGACAGTTTTATTATTCAACATTTTAGACATAAGAATCAAATGGTTCAGAGAATTCAATAACTCACCCAAATTCACATAAGTACAAAGCCTATAATTGAATTACAGTCAGCCTAATCGAAACCCCAAGTTCTAGCCCTAGCCTTCAAGATATTCACTAAATTATGAACACTTTAAAATGGCTGTTTCATTTACCATATTTAGTTAATTATTTCAGCCATAGAAACAAAATCAGTGTTTATGAAAAATTGGCCCTAATCCCTAAGAATTCTGAAATAATTTCTTTATAAGCAAAGAAATTTACCCCAACATGCAGAGTGTGCAAATAACATCATATAAAAACAATAAAGCATAATAATTCTTCTTCAGCAATGTCCATTGCATTCCTTTTTTTTTCCCCCCCACTTCCACTGCTACCAATTTTCCTATTTACCAGTTAGTCATTTATTAGCCTTCCATTTCTCTCCCACGGCATTCTTCTCTACACATAACTGCCATTTTAGCCTCCTGAAACACAAATATTAACCTGGCTTATCACAGCTCAGAAAATTCCAATGACTAAATGGAGCCAAGTCCAGACCTGTGATTCTGGCATTTCTTTCTAATCTCATCTTTTTTAGCCTGGCATCCAGTACAGCCAGACTATAAATATTTCATGTAGGCCTATCTCCATTTCTTTTTTTCTTTATCTTCCTGAAATGTTTACCTCCTTTTCCAATCTTCCTCCATATAATCAATAAACCTATATCTTGCCTGGGGCCACAAGGACCTCTCCATTCCTCTGAACTCCTGATGTCACAGGGCACTTACCATTCTGCTTTATATTCTTCATTTTCTTTGTAGTACCCTTCTTTGCCATTGAATGCAATGGTAAAGAAATATACTATGCCTACGGTATTTGTGAATCTTATAGTGTGTGTGTGTGTGTGTGTGTGTGTGTGTGTGTATTATACATAATACATGCTTAATATTAATTTAATATTAACTAATATCCTTAAGTTGACATTAAATATTCTGTATACAATAATAGCAAATGCAGAGAGCTTACTTTATTTACACCTTCGAAGAGCTTTATGTATATTAACTCACAAATTTTCTCCTTTGATTTTCCTAAAACTTTGCCAAATGTCTCCAATTTATTTGGGGGACAAAGAACCATTGAATAAGCTAACTTATGTAGTTTAAATTTTTTTTTTCAACGTTTATTTATTTTTGGGACAGAGAGAGACAGAGCATGAACGGGGAAGGGGCAGAGAGAGAGGGAGACACAGAATCGGAAACAGGCTCCAGGCTCTGAGCCATCAGCCCAGAGCCTGACGCGGGGCTCGAACTCACGGACCGCGAGATCGTGACCTGGCTGAAGTCGGACGCTTAACCGACTGCGCCACCCAGGCGCCCCTAACTTATGTAGTTTAAATAACACGTGTGACAAAAGCCATACATACCACGTATATAACTTCGCCCAAGGACTGCCCTGTGCTCTTGACTTCACCATCAGGGTACAGACGGTGGATATTAAAGTGTACATATCACGTTATCACTCCTTTCTTTGTAGCCTCCATTTACTTTCATAAATCATCATGCTTGGCAAGAAGAGGGAGGGAAGGCAATGGGAGAAAATTAAAAATAAAAATAAAAATAAAAAACAAATCATCATCCTTATCCCATCCACTTTAATTAAACATAACCACTGAGTTCTGTTTCAATGTACATTTAGCATTGTTAAATAACTCCATTATAAAGCCCTTTATTACATTGTGCATATAGGTCTTGTTTGGTCAAACTGTGTCTCTTACAATGCAAAGTGGTCTCGGGTGTCTAAAACAATAAAACAGAAATAAGTTACCCAGTTTTATTGACTGTGGCATCCAAACTTGGAATGATGGTCACTGTAGACACAGAACAGATGAAATAATAATAATAATAATAATAATAATAACAAATAAAAAAACAGATAAAGTAATGCAAAGTAATTATATCAACACTAGGAGATTTGATCCTCAGAGGTGTTTTTTTTTTCCCCCCCACAAAGACTTAGAAGAGCAGAAAAGTGTCATTCACTTTTTCTTGACAAAGAACAAATCTGTATTGGTAGCTGAGAAAAGAAAATCAACCCATTTATTTTTACAATCAACAAATTGTATTCTATGGTCTTCTTTCTGTGCATTGGCCAAAAAAGACTACTGATTTCTGCGTATCTAGCGGTTTCAGAAATGGAACATTTTATGAGTGATATCAAAGTAATACAAAAGTTCCAAAGTAAGATACCTGGAATTAGAAATCCTGATAAAATAGAAAGTACTTTGCAATTTCCTCTAGGTGCTTGTTTAATATTGTTTCCTAGTGCTTGGCAGATTTTCTTCTTCATCTCTGTCTTGCTGCACCTGAACGCAGAGATAAATGCACCCATAACACTGCCATCTCAAAAAGAAAGAGGGAGAAAAGTCATTTCTCGGCCCCACAAAGAATTGTGCCAGAAAGATTTGATGGGCTCCCTCAAACCCAGTCATAATGTTCACTCTGATTTGGATTTAATCAGAAGCACTGTATGGAGTTTTAATTAAAAAAAAAAAAAAAGACGAAGAAAAGAAAAGGAAAAAAGAACTCTTACTTTCTTGAGCTATTACAAAGGAATAATTATGTAGTAACATATTGTTTTCACCAAACCAGATGAAACTTCGGTCTATCCTTCCAAATCCCCTCATGATTTAATCTTGAATTGAGCAACACAGAACAAAAGAATCAATTCCCTTTTTAAGAAACAAATGTTTAATCATCACACTGGACCCAAGCCAACCTGCAAAATCCTTAGGACTGGCAAAAAAGCAAAAATAAAAACAAAAGACACTTAAAACTTTTGCAAAGATACTGCTAGCTATCCAGTATTATTAAATCATTCAAGTTTGTCTTTAGCAGATTCAAGTACTCTACTTCTCTGTCCCTTTTTCACTTGCTATTACTCATCTCCCCTTAAGTGCCCACAGCTATCAAATCTATCTTTGAACCTCAATGTAAATATGCAGAGAAACAAGCAAAAAACTTTTTCAAAGAAATACTAATGGTGTTACTTTTTTCCAGGGTTTTGTATTTTAAATTCAATTTTATTTATTTATTTGTTTGTTTATTTTAATGTTTATTTTTGAGAGACAGA